TCTTTACCAAAGAAAGCAAAAAACAGAAATCAGAGAGGTTATACAGATTGGAATATACTGAAGAGCTTTTTAACTAGAAATCAAGTAAGATCTCAGCTCAATTGAGCAGAGAGAGAAACACCTCACCAACAAGAGGCCACTCTTATGGTTACTGACACTGGCAGTCAATAGACATGGCGAGAGGGGGGGGGGTGGTTAACTCTTCTCTGTTCTGCCACTCCAGAACTCAAATTAGCTTTTCAAAAGTTGATTAATCATTCTTTCTCTCACTCTGTTTCTCTCTCTCTCTCTCTCTCTCTCTCTCTCTCTCTCTCTCTCTCTCTCTCTCTCTCTCCATACCCATACCCCCTGATTTTTCCAAAAGTCCTCTCTTGGAGTGTATTTCCAAATAACTAAAAAGTCAGTCCTTCTTCCCACTTACAGAACTGTGACTTGACATTCTCTCAGACAAATAGGAGTTTCATCCCCTGAACATAGCACAGAATCTTCAAGGCAACAGTACGATTTTGTATTGTGCCTCCCCCATAGATTTATTGGTTTTTCATATTTAAATATTCCCTTTGGGGTGTGTGTGTGTGTGTGTGTGTGTAAGGGAGACAGACAAAGAGACAGAGACAGACAGAAGAAAGAAGAGAGAATCCAAAACCTTGGAGCAAACCTCTAGTTGGATGCATAATATGGATGACGATCCAGCAAAGCATACTGCAGCACCAAACAAGTAGGAGAAAATCCACTACAGACATTCCCAAAAACCCAGAGAGGAGATAGACCCAATAGAAAAAAAGGTGTTCTACCTTGTCAAATGCTGCAGAAAGTTCAAGAGGGATAAAGACTAAGAAAAGACCTATGGACTGGACAATTAAGAAACCATTGGTAATTCAGGAAAAAGAAGCTTGTTTTTCCATTCAGGCACTTCAGTTAAGTCCTGAGGCAAGAAGGTGGATGGAAAGAGGTTGAAAAGTGAGTGGGAGGAGAGAAAATAGAGGCAACAAGTAGGAGTTTGGTTATGAAAGGGAAATATATACATATGTAAGTATGTATATATATATATAATGATAGCTTGAGAGGTTTACTAGAGTTTTTTCATTCATTGGGGTGTGGGAAGAGATAAGGATAAAGGAGACCTAAGCACATTTGCAGCCAGCATTGAAAGTGCCAATAGTGAGGGAGACACTGAAGATTAGTCAAAAATTGGGGATAATTGTATAGACACGAGGCCAGAGGAGACAGGAGGAAACAGGATCAAGAGTAGAAGTAGAAGGCCTTCGTGAGTTGGAAGGCTACCCTTTCATCAGAAATTGGAGGAAAAATTAAATAATGTGGATAATTTCAAGGAGTATTATGACAAAGTAGGTGAGATGAGGTTGTTCAATGAAATGGTTTCTATTTTATCAGTAAAGTAAGAAGAGGGGTCCTCTGCTAAGAGAGAGTCAGTGATGGGAAAGGCTTGAGAAGAGAAGAAAAGCAGAGAATAACTACTATGAAGAATATGGAAAGAACAAATAATCAATAGATGTTGAATCATTTCAGGCATGTCGGACTCTCTGTGACCCCATTTGGAGGCTTCTTGGAAAAGACACTGGAGTGCTTTGCCACTTTATTCTGCTGCTCATTTGACAAATGAGGAACTGAGGCAAACAGAGTTAAGTGACTTGCTCAAGGTCACACAGCTAAGTAAGAGTCTGAGGCTGGATTTGAACTCAGGTTCTCCTGATTCCAGGGCTGGTGCTCTATCCACTGTGCCACCTAGCTGCCCAAAGATGATCAATTAGGGAAGAGTAAAAGGATTACCTTTTGACAATGAAGGCACTGATATTTAGTGACATGAAATACAGTGAATCAAATCCATGTGGCTCTACCATTTTCTCCAGCCAATGTAACAGCATATGAGTATCTGTGGAGAGGGTATATGGTTAAAGTCATCAAAGGATGGGGATAAGCAAAGAATGAGCAGGGATGGGATGAAAGGTCAAGAGATTCTAGAATGGAGGACAAGATGATGTGGTTAACTATAGAGTCAAGATTGGGAAAGGAAGAAAATAAGAGCAGAGAAAGAGTGATGATTTGGGACACCAGTAAGCCAATAAACATTTATGAAGAACTTACTAAGTGACAGGAACTATGCTAAGCTCTGGAGATACAGAGAAATGCAAAAGACAATTCCTGCTCTCAATTAACTCAATCTAATTAGAGAGATAAAAGGCAAACTAGGTACAAAACAAGCTATATACAAAATAAATTAGAAATAATGAACAGAATTAAGAGTTATTGGGAAAGACTTCCTCCAGAAGGTAAGATTTTAGCTGGGGCTTGAAGGAAGCCAGGGAAGCAAGGAGGTGGAGATGAGGAAGGAGAACATTCCAAGCATGGAGGACAGCCAATGAAAATGCCCTGGAGTCAGGCAAGAGATGAAGTGTCCTGTAAGAAGAATAGCAATGAGTTCAGCACCACTGGATCACAGACAAAAGTGGAGGCAGGAGGAGTTATATGGTACTGGAAAGGAGGGAAGGGCAGTTTAAGAAGGGATTTGAATGCCAAACAGTAATTTTATATTTGATCTTAGAAGTGATAGAGAACCACTGAGGGATGAAGGAATTGGAAAACATGAAAATAAACAACAGGTTCATGGATGAATAATAGGTTTAGGAGGAGTGATGTAGCTGAATCTGTTCCACAGATTCTTTGCACTTTGTAAATGTTTCTTATAATGAATAACTAGCAGAATGATTTCTCAGCGTGGTTAGGCAGTTAGGAAAATACAAAAACCAACAATGAGTCAGTTATTTCAAAAATTGGAGGGAGTTTTCTTCTTGGTATTTTGTGACTCAGATGGAACTTGCTCACATGAAGATATTTGGGCACCCAAATTAATCTTAGGTAAGAGATAAATTAGTTACAGGAAAATCATTCTTCATAACACCCTTTCTCTCACTCTCCCTCCCTTCCCTGATATTTCAATTCTGCTCCAAGGTAGATGAAAAAAAAAACAGGATATTTTCTTCATGGATATTCATTTTGGCAGGCAGCATGAACAGGTAGTTGCCAGATTTTGCTTTTAAAAATATCAATACATTAACAAACATTTATCATATGCCTATATGTGAGGGATTATGCTAGGCACTGAGGGAGATGCAAAGAAATTTAAGGCAAAGGCCCTGACCTGAAGGAATTTCCATTCTAATAATAGCTAGCATTTATATAGCTCCTTAAGATTTGCAAAAGACTTCATAAATACTATCTTATTTGTTCCTCACAATAACAATACAAGCAAGGTTAAGTGACCTAACCAGGGTTACACAGCCAGTGTCTGAAACCAGATTTGAACTCAAGTTCATTGCTCTATCTTATCCTGCACCATCTATCTGCTTCAATCTAGTTGGGGGAAAAAAACATGCATACCTAAGGAGTTAAATGACAACATAAGAAACAAAGATTACTGGTTAAGATGGTAATGTGAAAAGAAAAAGTTCATAAGAAGCCCACATCTTCCACATATACTCCATAAAATGCCCTAAAAAGGCACCAGAAAAATCAGTTTTTAAGAAGACCAAAGAGAAAACAGTGGAAGGCTTCTCTGTCCACAAGATGATGATCAGAAGCCTTCAGGATACTGAGAGGGGATCCAGAAACCAGACTGAATGGGCTGGAATATGTAAACACTTTGAGTAGTGATAAGGGGAATGTAACCTAGCCTGATGTCACAGGGTTTGAAGCCAGCAGGCACTATGAGCAGGTGAGAGAGGGGTTGAACCCAGCCTGTTCTCACAGGGCCACTTTAAAAACAAGCAGAAGGAAATTTAGAAGGGTACAAAGACAAGTAGAGTTGGGTTGGTATTAAAGTGTTCAATTGAGTGCATACTTTAAAAAACATTCTATACCTAATAGAAATTCATGGTTTCATATAGAATCTTCTTTTCCTGTACATTGCATATATGTGGAAATGTTCAAGTTTGCTGATGTTTTCAAGTTCATAATAAAAAAAGGAAAAAAAATAAGAGTGAGGGCTAATGGACAACCCAAATGGTACCCCAGTGTCTATCTATAAGATTTTAAAAGACTCCAAATCCCTCTATTGCATTGGGTGGGTCCTTAGAGGAGAATTTATGGAAAGAGTTGCATGGATGAGAATCACACAGGATGAGAAGATATAGATGAAGAAAGAACCCACATTGATAAGATCACAAATCCATTATGCTTGAAATAATACATCAAGGATTTATTTATGTATGTTGACAACCAAGTTGCTGCAAATATTTTTATGATTCTTTTGAAAATTCAAGCTATAATCTTACAAAATTAGTGAATGAAGATTTCCCATTTTCATGGTAATTAAATTCATCTTATATTGAAAAAGAAAATTCATTACTATATGTTCATTTATAAGAATTAAATATTTGATTTAATATTAACTTTTTTGAAAACTGGTGATGTTTATTCAAAAAATTTATTAAATATATGATATGTATAAGGAAATATCTGAGATACAAAGAATAGTAAGACCATCTTTTTTTCATGTAGTTACAATCAAATATTCAGTATATTAATAGCAGTGTAAAATGCAGACTAAGACATTTTTCCTGTACAGAAAGCCAGTAATCTAAAATTTATTTTTCCTGATCTAGCATTTGAAGCACTGCTGTTGGGCTCAAAGGAGCTGTGGCACTTAATGCCTCCCTATCCTGTATCCAGCCTTTGGACTGAGCTCATCCTGGGGATCCTGCTTCTAAAGAGAAGAACTACCTTTTCTAACACACATTGGTTCATTAAGTTTCCCTCCCCAGAATCCCAGGGAAAAATGCAGGAAAGTTTATATAATGTAAGCTCTGGGTTTACTCTTCTAATCCACACTGAGAAGAGCAGATTGGGTCCCCAGAATGTAGTCTAATAGGAATTTGTTATTTTCTATTTCCCTTTATTCCTCCTATAACTTTTAGTTAACTGAAAGCCTGTCTTCTGTTAATATTAACTTCACCTGACCAAAACCTGTCCCATGGGATGTAAAAATTTACTTAAAGCCTTAAATATTCCTTAGCTAAGAAGCCAGAGAAAGAATCTCAAGTATTCATGACTCCTTGGCAACAGGTAAGTCTTCCTCCTCTATTAACCTATTTGTGACCCCTCAAAATGTCATTTAATCTGTAATCTGACTTAGTTTACCTAGAGTTTGTTTGACAAGGTTTATTTCCTTAAGGGATGTATGAGATTATGTCTCTATTTTACTGAGTTTATTTAACTTTTATGACATTGAAGGCAGTATGGATCTATCTTTAACTTTTATGACAGAAGAAAAATACATAATATTGCAATATGTAGAAGAATTATTTCTCTGTCACTGACATAATTTTGCCTATAAGAAGGATTGTTAGAAACCTAAAGAGTTAAAAGGAAAAAAAAAGTTAATGATTATTAAGGGATTTTTTCCCCCTAAGGCCTTAAGCAATGCTTGAGCATAATAATAAAACCTAGGCTTTTGCTTCTATAATTTCTACATTGTGGAATATTTTGGTAGCAGTTATCTATCACACGAACTCAGAGAGGAGATATTTCTCCCTTAACAGTAGCTACTATCTCTCCCCTCTGAATTCTAAGGTCAACCCCTGAAGGTTATGTATGCAGTTCTTGTGGGACTCAGTGGGGGGGGGGGGAGGTTAAAATAGCTGCTGATATTCCCTCATCTAGTATGTGCCACCAACATCATTTAACCAGTTAATATATCCTCAACATCACTTAACTAATTATTATCAATTAGCTTTTACAAAGAGAAGATACAGCAAAGACTAAAGTATAACACCCCCTCCTCTAGATAAAGGGTAACTGTACTCTCCTCTCTACATACCCACTCTGTCACTGGGGATACTTGACTCTACAAGAAGCCCTTTTCTCCCTTCACAAATCCCTACCAAGTTCTCTTCTGAGTGCAGCATACATAATTGTCACAGATTTTATGCCAATTTTTTTACAAAAAAAGTGGGGTACAACCATTATGTGAAGCTTTTAAAAAATTGTGCTTGTTATTACTTGTCTTTTAGTTTCCACCAATCTTGCACCAACTTTTCACCAACTGAAAACTCTTTCTGCAACTGTTTCCACGCCGTTCAGCAAACACAATCACTTTCAGCTTGAAGTGACAGATTAGATAAGAAAACAAAACCCAAACATAAATTAACAAAATAGAAAGAGAAATAATTAATAAACTGAATAAGCATTTTAAAATTAGCAATCTAAAATTTAAAAATCTAAAATAAGCCAGGAGAAGACATTCTATGTTTCCCAGCAAGCAAGTGGGATTGGTCTCTTTCCATTGACTTCAGATCTGGAACTGGTTGCATCTTTAGAAGTGGGACAATCTTGCTTTCTCTTCCCATCAGCACCTAAAGTATAAAGGTCCTGTTCACCCCAAGCACGGGCACCATGAATTGAACAAGGAGTAGGGGCAAAATTCCCCCTCCCCTTTAGGCCCTAAGAAAGAAGCTTTGGGTCTGATTCATTCGTACGTTTCAGTTCTAGATACAGACAGTGGAGTCCATGAACCCAGGAGCTCAAGCCACAGTGACCTTAGAGTCAGATATTACAGGCCAGATATTACTGCCACCCCAAGCAGGGAAGCCCTGAGAATTCACAGTTCTGAATTGTAAGTTCAAGGGGCCTTTGGACATGGAACTTGGTGGGATTATGATGTATAGGGACTGAACTAAACTGTGAACTAATCCCTCTCCGCTCCCCAGAGACTAAAGTGCTTTAGGGGGGGGAATTCTGACCTGGGGTGGGGGAAGGGAGGCTGGGTTTCTATGTTCTATGTTCTATGTAACCAACGGGCCTCAAATCCTTCGGGTGAGTTAGGGGGATGTCCTACCCACACCTGGTAAGACTTCCTTCATCAGAATGGGTGGATGAGAACAATTTATTTCAACAGCTATGAAGGCAGCTGAAGTGAACACTGAACCTGATCACACATGGAAGAAGCCAAGGTCATCCACTGCATCCCAAGCCATTGCCAGTCATCTCGACTTTTGTCTTGTCCCTGGACTTTGCTGACTCTGGAAAAGAGAGTGAGGCTGACAACTCTGTGCAACTCTGCCCCATTTAAATCCAATTCACATGCAAGTCAAGACATCACCTGTCGGTGTCGTTGGTCCTCTTCAAAAACAAAGGCAAACAACAACAATCTTTGATGTAAATAGTCCTTTGCAAAAGCTGATCTGACTGGTAAGTGGCCTAACAGAATTTGGATTATGGGGACCCTCTAAAATTGGAGGAGCACAATCAGTGAGGGCTTAAGCCAGTGGCAGAGCCTATATGCCTCCAAACCTCCTTTAAGGATACCAGAGAACTCTGCAGAGGGAGGCCAGGGTAAAGACTGTTAGATATATATGCCTTTAATTAAAAATAATTTTTTTTCTAGAGGGAAAAAACAGTATTAGAGATCAGTCCCACTAAAAATTCCAGAAATTTATCAGTTGGTTTATTTGAGAGGCCATTTGGTATGACAGATAGAATTAGACTTTAAAAGTCCTGAGTCAGAATCCCTCCTCAGACACTTAATAGCAGTGTGATATTAGGCAAGTCACCTTGACCCTTCTCAGCCTCAGTTTCATCTGTAAAATGGGGACAGTAATCACACCTACCTCCCAAAGTTGTTGTAAGGATGGAATAACATATGTAAATTGTTTCGCAAACCTTAAGGAGCTATATAAATGTTAGCTTTTATTTGAAATACGGGACCTGAGAGGCAGAGGTCGAAATGTATGTTAACACTAGCTATTAGCTATAACACTGCTTTGATATGTAGGCTGATTTGGATTTCAGAGGTATAGGTAGACAACATATTCAGCCTAAGGAAATTCTGCTACGTGCCCATGATTAGGCAAACACCAGAGCCAGGAGAAGGTCTGAGCAGGAAACAAGACAAGCAAAAGCCTAAAAGCAAGTTAAGGCAGGACCAGATCTTTTGGCACAATAAATCCTTCCATTCCTCTCCCCTTCCATTCCATTCCCTGGAATCAGAAAGACTTGAATTCAAATCCAGCCTCAGAAACTTAATAGATGTGTGACTCTGTGCAAATCACTTGACCTCTGTCTGCCTCAGTTTCCTGTATGGTAAAATGGGGATCATATTAGCACTTACCTCCCAGGATTATTGTGAAAATCAAATGAGATAATAGTTATAAGAGCACAGGGTAGGCGCTAGCTACATAAATGTTTATTCCCTTTCTAGCAACTAAATCCAGATGCTGAAATAATTAAGAAAGCCAATTCTGAAGCCTAGATTTAGTCCAGGTGACAAATCAGATCTCCCTGCTTCTACTTCCTGTTCAATCTATCCTTCAAATAGCTGCTAAATGCTCTTTCTAAACAACAGGTCTGACCATGTCATCCGCGTGTCTCATAGCATTTAATAAGAACTTCCTTGTCTATAGGATTGTTAGGGTGAGCTCAAAGCCCTTGGGTGCTTTGCTGGCCATATCTACATATGAAAAGACAGGAATGTGGCTAGGCAGGTAGGGGGAGACAATTATCTTGCCCCCAGGGCTAAGTTTTGTTTCTGAGCCTCCCTCTCACCCCCACCTCCTCACATTCATCTATTAGGGAGAACACAAAAGATTTGGAATAGAAAAAAACTGTGGCACCCAAACCCCAGAGCTGTTTGGAAATTATTAGAATAGTCTTTACAAGGATAATTACCAGGTATAGTCTAGACTTTAGAGATTAAAATTAGTATATCTATGAAACGCTCACCATGAGCTAGAGTGAGGCTGCTCACCAACACTCCAAGCCCAATGGTAGGGAAGTCTAGTCCAAAGAAGAAACAGATTTGGGAAAAAATGAAGAAAAAAAAAGAAGCAGACTTGAACCTGAAGACATTCACAACTTAGCTAGAAATGTCTCTGTTCTTTGTTCTAAACAACACAGATAGAGGCCTCTCATCAATCAAAGCCAAGATGGAAAGAAGCTGAGGCTTTTCCTATAGGATGCTAGCTAGTCAATGGCTGTGATAGCTGCTTTTCTGAAAGTGTTTTTAAAATTATCTGGCTTTTGATATAAAAGAGCACCATAGAGCCTACTTTTCTCTTGATGATGAAATAGCACCATAGTCAGGTACAACATACAGCTGAAGGTGAAAGCTGGAAACAAAGAAACTCTCCAGCCCCACCATCACCACAAGAGGTCCATTTCTTACAGCAGGACCATTCCATGTAGCATGCTGCAGCGACCATATGGCCAGCAGAGTAGCATCTGGCAAAAATTATATATTGGGTAGAAGAGTAACAAGCAGAGGAGCACCCAATGAAGCATCAAAGACTGGCGGACAGAGCAAAGTGCAGAGGAAAAGCATCTAGGAGAAATGTATCAGTTTAGACAAGGATGCTTGAGTAACATAACCGGTGAAGACCGCTAGGGAGCAGACCCAGCAGAAGGAGTATGGTGAGCTCACCAGCAGATATAAGCAACCCTGCAGTATGAGAGAAGTGAGTTTTCCCCACACATACCCCCACCAGCTTATGCCCTGGACACATACAATAATAGCTAACATTTATATGGTTTCTACTATGTGCTAGGCACTGTGCTAAGCACTTTACAATTAACTCTAATCCTTACAACCTTGATAGGCAAGAGCTATTATTATCCCCATTTTACAGATGAAGAAACTGGGGTATACAGAGGGTAGGTGATTTGCACAGGTTCACACAGCTAGTAGTAAATTTCGGAGGCTGCATTTGACCTCCCTAGTTTGTTTTTCTCTACGTGGGTTTCCTACGTATGCTCACTCTTGCCCCTGACAGTGGAGAGTGTGCTTCAGGTTTACAGGGGAAATGTTTTGTTTCTACTTTTCTTGCTTTGCCTTTCCATTAAATGCTTTGAACCGATTGCAAACTATGGCTTGCAGACAGAGAGACAGAGATCAATGGAATAGAATTTTAAAAAGGAGAGAAATAAAACTCAATGTATTTAAGCATTTGGTTTTTATTAGCATATGCTTTAAACATACTGGGGAATGGAATAAGTATTCAATTTTTAAAACTATTGTTAAAACTGGACAGCTGTATGACCAAAAAATGAGAGGCATCATGTCATAGAGAATAGAGTACTGGACTTGATTTCAGGAAGACTGATTCAAATACTACCTCTGACACCTTCAACTTTTTATGACGGTTAGCTAACATTTGACCTCCTTAACTCTCACATTCTTCACTTCTATAAAGGAGAAAATAATACCTGTGTTTCCTATCTCACAAGATTTTTTGGAGGATCAGATGAAATTATTTTGTTGTTGTTCAGTCACTTTTTAGTCATGTCCAACTCTTCATGATCCCATTTGGGGTTTTCTTGACAAAGATACTGGACTGATTTGCCATTTTCTCCTCCAGATCATTTCACAGAGGAGGAAACTGAAGCAAACAGAGTTAAGTGACTTGCCCAGTAAGTATGTGAGGCCAGATTTGAACTCAGGGAGATAAGTATTCCTGACTTCAGGCCTAGTACTCTATCCACTGCACCAGCTAGGAAATGATTGTATGCGTAATGTAGTCTTGCCCAGCTCCTCAGAGTCATTACCATGTAAACTTGATGAGTTAATGCGTCTTCCAATACATTATATAGGTACTCTCTCCTTCATCCCCAACTTCCTTTGGTTTTATTTATGACTTTAAGTGAACTCCCAAGAAGAAAGTAAAGTTGGGGGAAGATGGCTTGTGTCTACCAAGCAGGCAAACTCTTAGCCCACCAAGTTTCCATGGTAACAAACTTAAAACGTAGGTTAAGCTTGGGTTACATATATAAAGCACTCTGACAACATTAAAGTGCTATAAAATGTCAGTTATTATTATTATTGTTATACCTCACACCAAACAGACTAAATATCTAGGTAGGTTTAAAGCAATTAAAAACTGAAAGAAAAGGAAATAAGATAAACCATAAAGAAGAGAAAAAGTTTTGTTAATTTGGGGAGAAATTGCTAGAGTTAAACTTGACAGGTTTGATTTTTCAAAGATGAAAGGGTTTTTGCACAATAAAGAAAAAATGCTTCTAACATTAAAAGAAACAAAACCAATGGGGGAAGAGGAAATATATATAGTAAATAGATTTGATAAAGTCCGATACCCAGGATCCATAGAGAGTTGACTAATTACCTTAAGAGTAATACACACTCTTTAATCGAGCAATGTTCAAAGAGCATGAACAGTTTTTGAAGGATAAAATATGAACTTTTAGTAACCACATGAAACAATGCTCAAATTCACCATTAATGAGGAGGAGAGATTGGTAGAATAGGAAAAGTGCTGAATTTGGAGTCCTGAGTTGGAGGGCCTGAGTCAAAGCAGACTAAAACCTCACTTATCTCCACTCCCTCTTTTAGAAATATTAAGAAAACATTTACAATTATCCCCATCTGCATAGATAGAACTTATATCACATTAAGGTTTAAAAGTACTTTACATTTGTTTTCTCATACACCCCTCACAGCAACACTGTGAGATCCACGCTATCTCCTCTCCATTTTACAGATGAGAAACTGAAGTTAAATGACTTGCTCATTTAACTGAGCTAAGAAGTGTCTGAGGCTTGATTCAGATGCAGGTATTTCTCATTCCCAGTCCCATGCTAGCCACTGTGATTTACCTAGTTAAAGCTCTGGACTAAGCCAGGGGTGGGGAACCTAAGGCCTCGAGGCCACATGTCCTTGGGTGTGGCCTTTTATTAAGGGGATTTGTTTTGTGAAGTGTGGATTCAGTCAAAGGGCTGCACTTGAGGGCTTAGAGGGCCACATGCGGCCTTGATGCCAAAAGGTTCCCATCCCTGGACTAAGCGAAAAGGGAAACCTTCAACAATCTTTCTCTGTCAGTTCTAAAATAATGTCTTGCTCATCTCTCTCTCCTGTTAGCCCAAGAAGGACTTCTCCTGTAAAGTAATTGTAGTGGTGACCCATCCAGTACTAGGGCTTGGGCCTCTTGATTGATCCACCTAAAAAATGGTGGCCTCTTTCCCAGTGCCCTGGAGGGATTAGGATAAAAAGCCTGTAAGAGAAGCAAGAGTTCTCTTTGATTACTTGGCTGGCACCTGTGACCAGCTGAGAGGAAGAATCCTTGAGGGTAGTAGTCACAGATAGATTGCATGGTTTTAGGGAAATGATTCTCCTAGGGTATGCCCAAAAAGATTAAGGGATTATTGTGTTGTTTGCTGCAAAATGTTAACTTTTACCTTACCCT